CCTCCTCCACCTGCCCCCACCCCCACCATATGGCTTCAGGGGGCAAGGTGGTTGGGAGGGTATCCAGCCCCACTCCAGGTCTGCTCCTGTGAAGCAGAGCCCCAGAGGTGCTTTGGGAAGAAGACAGAGGAACAATGCATATCCCTTCTCACCTCCCTTCCCAGCACCCCCCTGGATCAGTCCCCTTGCCAGGGCCTGCAACCCCCAGGTAGCACCTCCCCATCCACCCCAGCCGGGTCCTCTATGCTGTCTTCACGGCAATCACTGGTCAGGAAACCTGCCTGTTTATCCTCCAGCCAGTGGTGTTGCTCGGCCGTCCCTATGGCAACAGCCCCGGGAGTCCTGCCCCTCTCGGGAAACTGCCCAGAACCTGTCCCTTCCCTCTCCAAGCCTTTGCTGGATGCGGATGGCCGGATGGGGGGAGGGGGAGGCTGAGGACAGGGTGGGAGATGCGCAGCTGGTGGGCCTGAGGGTGCTGGGCTTCGCAGCAGGAACCGCCCTGTGCGCGTCATCCCAGGCCCTGCGGGTGGACCGGAGGCCGGCCCTGGACTGCAGCAGCCCCACCCTGGGCTGGGGGCCGCCTGGCCGAGGCTGCAGCTTGCTCCCAGGCCTGGCTCAGCCAAGTCTGCTGCCAGCTGGCCCTGCCCTCCTGCTGGGCCTCCCCAAGACCTCCCTCTAGAGCCAGAGGCTACCTGCCAACCCCATGGCTGCCCCACCCCAACTGTCCTCCAGGCCCGCGCCCCTGCCAAGCCCCACTGCCGCTCCAGCTGCCACCGCCAACTGTCGCCCCGTTCCATTCCAAGCACTCACCCCCAACCGTCCTTCCAAAACGCCACTGCCAAATGCCAGCCCCTTCCTTCCTGAGCCCCCGCCCCCTCACCCCCAGGCCGGGCACCAGGGCCCTGCATTCCAGACCTACCCTCCAGACAGAAGCTGGGCCACACCTGCTATGTGCCCGGGAGGGGCTGGTGTCAGAGGGCAGGGGCAGAGAGCTGGGGTGGAGGTGGGGGCTAACAGAGTGAGAACGGGGCAGCACAGTTGTGGGGGGGGGGGGGGCAAGGGCAGAGCACTGCCCCAGTGTCAGCTGCACAGCCAGGCTGGCACAGGGTGGGAGGCAGCCAGGGCCACTCCCGTGCAAGCTGTGGGCTATAGATGAGCAGGGGTCTGCCCCTGAGGGTCTGACCATCAACCTTGGCCTCTCCTGGAAATGGTTAGATCATCACTTCGCCTCCTGCCCCACCAGCCCTTCCCAGTCCCAGGTGGGCCCTGAGGCCAACTTAAGTGTGGAGGGTGGCACTGGGCTCCCTCCTGTCTCACTCCCCCTGCTCCCTGGACCGGCCCCGATCCCTTTACAATCTGACCCCATCGCCCTTCTCCTTGCTGCCCACACCCACCCCGAGCCCACTCTCTCTGTTCATCGTTGGTCCCTGTGGTGGCATTGTTCCATGAGGGTGCTTCTGCGCCCCCACCCCACGGGGATCGCCACAGCCCCTGCTTTCTCTGGGCACACAGCAGGCACCCTATCCAACTGGGACCTCCCTCGGGCCCCGGGTGGGAGGAGAGGGGAAGACACGGCCCTGGGAGCCGGGTGGCACCACTGCACCGCAGGTGCAGACCTGGGGCTGTAATTCCATCTCGGGCGGGCTCTGGAAACTGGGAGGCCCTGGGGAGCAGCCAGTCAGCGCTGGAACAGAGCGAGGGGGCTGGGGGCCTCAGTCCCTGCTAGAGCAACGCAGCTGCTCCCTGGGGGCCACAGCCACTGAGGCTCGTGTTGCAAAAGCTGGTGATGGCTGCAGATAGCGACAGGGAGGGATGAGGGGGCAGAAGTTGAGACAGGGTGCATTTTCTGAGTCAGGAGTCTCCCTGCATGCATCACCTGGCCCAGCTCCCATGCTAGGGGCTGGGGGTGAGGAGGAAAAGGAGATGATGAGGGGCCCTGTCCCGACCTTCCCATCAGAGAAGGGGGTTCTGGGTCCCCTTGGTGGACTCAGAAAGGCCCCAACCCGTGCAGTGCCAGCCACTGTCTTGGCCTCCTCCATCCACTCATTCATGAGCTTATTCGGCAGCATTCATGGAGTACATCGATCCTGCCGCGTGCCGGGGACATCCCAAGATTGGAAAGCGAGACAGGATGCCTTGTCTTCTGGGAAAGAGCCAGGCAAGCAGGTCAGCCGAGAGGCTCGCTAAAGCAGACCTGGAAAAGGGTTTCCTTGGAGAAATGGCCAGTGTGAGGATAGTGGGGAAAACAGGAAAGTGTGTGGCAGTGCTGGCAGGACAGAAGGGCTCAGAAAGCAAAGGACAGGGGCACATGGAGCCGATGGGAAAGGTGGCCAGAGGCAGGGCCATCTGAGCATCAGATAACATCCTGCTGAATACAACACAAAGCACGATGTGACCCGACCGACATACATGCAGGGGGAAGGGTCTGGCACCCTCCCTGAGATGGAAGTTAACTCCCATACAGCTTGAGTGTGGTTGCCCTTTGAAGAAGGCGCAAAAGGGAATGTGAGGGGCTTTACTCTGGAGACCCAGCAGGCAGCCCCCCAACCAGGTGATCAGGGACATCAAAGGACATCAGGCTTCTGACCTGAGGTGACAGGAAGGGTACCTCACCTCTGCTGCTGTCTGCCCCAGCTCATCAGCCTCCTTGGTACTCCATCATGTCTGACTTGATAACCTTGGTGTCTTCATGAGAAGACACATCAGATCAACCCTAACTGAGGGACGTGCTACAAAACACTGAGCGGCCGCCTCAGGATGGTCTTGGTCGTCAAAGGCTATGGAGAAGTGGTCCCAGCCCAGAGGAGCCCGGGAGTCGTGCAGACCCTGCGTGTGTGCCCTGGGTGGGGTCCTGGATCAGAAGAGGAGTGCAATGGAAAAACGTGTGGATGAAATCCAGGTGGGGTCTGAGCTATGCTGAGAGAAGCAGCCCTGGTGACATTTGATGGTAACTTTGCAGGAAGCTGAGTCAGGGGGGCGGTGCACACAGGAGCTCTGGGACTTCCGAATGCCCCTGCTCTTCCATAGACCTGAAATCATTCCAAAACATAAAGAGTCTCCGACCAATCATTAGACAAAGCTTCCTCCTTTGGATCTGGGGCTCGTTTTCACTTTTGGATCTGAAAGCTCCACAGATGCCCAGCTCGGCCCACCCTCAGGGCACAGGGACGGAGGGGTTTAAACCCTGGACTCATGAAGGACTGGCCCTGCTGCCCTGCTGAGAGACTCAACCCACCTTAGCCCAGCCTCTGCCTGCACCCGCCACGTCTCCAAAGGTGACCCCAACCCCTACACTGTCTTTGCTCAAAAAGTCCCAATGTTGGGAACTCCTTGGCTGTCCATTGGTCAAGACACTACTTCCACTGCAGGGGGCCCAGGTCTGATCCCTCGTCATGGAATGAAGATGCCTGCATACAGTGCAGTGTGACCCCCCAGAAAATCCCAGTGTTGCCAAACCGCTGTGTGTGCTGTGTCCCAGCAAGTGTTTTGCTGTTCCACTCAGCCCTCTGTGACTTCCCTCCTTCCGCCTGTTCTCCCAAGACCCAGCCTTCTGCATGTTGTCTCAGCCAGAGGGGAGCCCCCCCTCCGCAATAGTTACGTGAAATCCATCTCACTGCCTTGAGGCCTGTCCAGTGCTGTTCTCTGGATAGCTGCCATGAGCCTTTGTCACATCTGTGTGCTTGCACACATCTGTGGGCTCCTCCGTGTGTGTGTGTTGGTGCACGAGTGTCCACGTGTGTCTGGGTTGTGTGGTCCAGGAGATGGGCTCATTCCCAGGTGGCCGCTCAGGCTTGTACAAGAGCATCTGTGAGTGTGTGTCCTGCTTTGCTCTCTGCAGAGGGAACCAGGCCCAACTCTGGACACTGGGCAAGAGCTGGTCCTGCCCAAGTCTGGGGGACTTCCCTGGAAGTCCAGTGGTTGAAAGTCTGCCTTCCAATGCAGGGGATGAGAGTTCAATCCCTGGTCGAAGAACTAAGATCCCACATGCTGCAGGGCAGCTAAGCCACGTGCCACAACTAAGACCCAACACAGCCAAACAAACAAACACAGAGAAATGGAATAGAAACACACTCTGGGTGGGGAGGGTGGGAGAGGCAGCTACAGAGATGGACAGGGTGTGGATTGAGTCAGGCAGGGGAAATCTTTGCTGGGCCGAACCCAGGTGCTCCTTCTGGGAGATGACCTCCAAGACCACCTGGGGCCACGTGGTGACCACCAGGTGAAGGCTTCTGGTGTTTTCCACAGGCTATCAGGTACTGTCGCAGACTTTTGAAGAGGAGATGGGCTGAATCCAGAGAGATTTTTAGGATGAGAGCTGATAAACTCTGGGTGGAACAGACATGGTAGATGGGGTGGCTGGGGGCGGGGGGCAGTGGTTTGCTGCCTCTCCGATTGACAGCAGAGTGTTGGGTCCCTGTTTCAGACAGGAGGCCAAGAACAGATGTGGACATGACAGATATGTGGGTTTGCGGAGTGAGGCCAGGGCTGCAGGTGCCCCATGGAGGCAGGGAGGCCTTGAAGGATAGAAGCTGGCTAGGGAGCCTGTGACATCTGGACTGGAGTAGGGAAGGCTGTGTGGCAGAAGGGTAACTGCAGGGCATTCCTATTTCCTGCTCACTGGAGTCTCAGAGGTCACTTGGGCAGGGGCTTAGGCAGAGCCACACCCTCAGGACACCTGGTGGCGGTGGGGTTCCCACAGCTGTGCCTGGAGAGCCACCCTGACTAGGACCCCCTTCTCCTACCAGCCTCAATCTCAGACTCTGAGAGCCCACCCAGGACCCTCTCCCCATCTCAGCTGAGGGATGGGACACCAGGGTCCATTCTCTGGTCTTGCCCAATGCCAGCTGCACTCACCAGTACCCAGACATGATGGCTCTTCTCCCCCAGGCCTTTGCACCTGCTGTTCCCTCAGCCTGGAATGCCCCTCCTGTTCCTACCCACCTGATGGCCCTCAGCTGTCCTGAGGACCCACTTCCAACCCTGCCCCCCACTGCCCACTCTTAATCAGGGAGAGGATCCGCCATGACAGGGCCCCACTTTGGCCCTAACACCTGCACTTTCTGATTGTCCTTCGCCCCCTCCCTATGCTCGTTGAGGGTATGGCCATGTCTGATTCCCTTGTATGTCCTCGGTTCTAAGGGGCCAACCTGGCCAGAATCTGTACCCGCAATGTGATTTGGGGTAAATCTCTTAATTCTCTGGGCAACCAGTCCACACCTCAGGAACCCCCCTGACATTGCTAAGTGGGCTGAGTAAGATGGTGGGACACAGAGCATCCCAGAAGGTTTGGCCTCTCTTGTCGGCACTGTTACCATAGAAGTTTGACTGTCACCAGTGCCAACTGGGCGCTGAGAGTGGGCTCCTGGCTTTCTGTCGCGGTTTCCAGTCTCGAGTGTCCTGTAGGCATCTTCTTCCTGAGGAGATTTGGGCTAACGTCACTCGGGGATGCCTCTGGAACCCCAGGCAGAGCAGACAGGCCCCTGGAAGTGGCTGGGTTTGCCTGGGTTGGGATGTGAGAACTGCGGAGTGGTTTTCCTCCTCTGGGTCCTCAGCCCCACACACCCAGGATGGAGGAAGGGTAGGGGAAAGCCTGGGGAGGGGCCTGGAGGGGGCTTGGAGCTTTGGAAAAAGGGGCTGCCGTGCCTGAGGGGAGTTGTTGGAGGAAACAGGAGGAGCTTGCATCCTACCTGGTCTGACCACCCCTGCCTCACAGCCCCCACACCCGGCCAGGACCCTCAGTGCCTGTCCCTGTGGCCACGTGGGTGTCTGTGTTTCAAGAGCTGTCATGGAATGTGACAGCGTGGTTCCCCGGCCCCCAGCCATCGTGGGCTGTGTGGAGCTTTGCTCTCTCCTCCCCTGGGGGTCCTGGTGCCGGGGTGGTTTGAAAACCAGAGCCTGAAGGCCTTATCAGACCACAGGCTTTCCTGAGGAAGGAAGGGTGGGTGTGGGCCTCCGGGATGGGGCGCCTCCTCTGGGCGTGCCCAGCCAAGTGGAGGGTGCGCGGGCGCTGCCCTCCTGGGGGGAGGACAACTTCAGCCCAGGAGACCCCAGCCTAAGGCCCAGCCCAGTCAAGGACAAACAGACCCCAAGATGGAGAGGTCCTAAGCCGGGGCTCAAGTCTCAGGAGCCCTGGGGGCCCACCCTCTGAAATCAGGGGCAAATTCGAGCATTTCTGGGAGTGTCCACAGGGCTCCTGTCAGACCCTCAGACAGAACCATGGCCATCAAAACCACAACTCCAGTCCTGGGGGCCTGAGGAAATACATGCTCAGATTCACAAAAAAGATTTATCAGAGTGCTCAAAGCCATCCTCTTTCAATAGCCCCAAACTGGACAACCCACTGCCCACCAGTGGCAGAGTATATAAGCAAAATGTAGGGTGTCACACAGGGGACACTGGATGGCCACCTGTGACTCCCAGAGCCACTGTAGCCTCACTTCCAAAAGAAGCCACCTTCAGAAATGGGCAGGACAGGTGGAGCCAACAGTATTAAAGAGAGATGGCTTCTGCAAAGTGGGTCCAAGGGTACCTCCTGGGGCTGGCCGAGTCCTGTCTTGCTCCAGGTGCTGGTGACAAGATGCGTTAAATATTTACTCAAGGTAGGAGCTCGTTTTGGTGTGTATATGGTACATCAATAAAAATTATACGAAGCCTCCCAAATCCTCACTGACCTCTCTCTGAGGGGAAGATGTTTCCCTGGGGCTGTTGGTCTTCATTCCTCCCTGCCCCAGCCTCCCACCTGGGCCTCCAAGGAAGTGGGGGATAGGAGAGGGTATGAAGGCAGAGAAAGCAGCCCCGGCAGGTGCTGGGCAGGCCCCGGGGGCCCTTCCTGGCTGTGGAGACTAAGGCTGGTCAGGCTGACTGTCCCAGGCCTCCTCAGCCTTTCTCAAGGGCCTGGCCCAAGAAGCCCCAGGTTGGGGGGTCCTGAAGCCTCGCAGGTGGGGAGGGAGGATGTGGGGCCCGCCCTGCTGGAGCCAGGCTGGCTGGCCTTGGAGCGCTGGCAGGGGCTGGGGGTGCCTCCCGCCCTGCACCCTCCCCCTGCGGGTGCCTCTACCCCTTCCGCTTCCAGAGGCCCCAGGGCTATTTTTAACTCTCCTGAGCTGCCGAAGGTGGACAGAACCTTGGGGATGGGAGAAAAGACCCAACACTCTTTCTGGGGTCCAGGCTTCCTGAGGGAACTGGTCATTCTTGACCTTAGAGGAGAAACAGCACTCCACCCCAGAAATATAGACGTACAGGAAGGCCACGTAGATACCCCAAGGTTCACACATATGCCTAGGATACAAACACACACAGATGTGCATACACACATACACATGCAAGTGCAAGCACATGCCACAGCCCAGGAACATCCTTAGAAACATACCAGATGCACAGAGACTCGAAGGACAAATAGAGGGTCTCTCAGCCTCCCCAGACCCCTGAAAACACACACAGGCAGACACACATGTGCAGACACACATAGGCAGAGACACACATATGCAGATACACACACAGGCAGACACACACACACACGGGCACAGACGGGCAGACACAGAACAGATGCTGGGGTGCAGGAGGACCTGCAAGCCATATTCTAGACTGATGGGGGTGGGCCCTGCAGGAGGGCTGCTCAGCCCCTATGTACCAGCCACTTTCCCCGCAGCTGGCTGGGCCTGAGCTCCAGGGGCCTCTTGGCACCTTCCCACTCAAGAGGCCCCACTCCACTTCATCCTCCCCCAGGATGGGGAGTGGGCCTGTGACTGGAGCCATGAGCAGACTTGCACCCTCTTCCCCCACACTCTGGCCCTCACGCTGCTCAGGACAGGAAACCCAAGAGCGGGAAGGGGGAGTCAGCCCACGGAGCTGTGGTCTCAGAGCCTCCTCTTCCTAGCCCTGCTCCCCACTTCCCCTCTCCTCCCCGGGCCTTTGTTCCCTGGAGCAGCCATCCCCCCACCCCGCGGGTGAACTGGAGTGTGTCCTGGAAAACCCCAGGTGCTGGACTGGGGGCCTCTGTCCCCTGCATCCGGATCCAGGGGAGGAGGGAGCCAGGAGGACAGGCGGGACTCAGGACCCACTAGTGGGGGCGCAGCTGGCTGGCTTCCATGTCCCCTCCACCCCCGCACCCCCACTGCTGCCCCTGGAGGCCCCGGAGGGATGGAGGAGGGCGGAGAGCTGGCCTGGAGGACAGGACATCCTCTTGGCAGGACACAGGACGCCAGGCCGGAGGTTCCCAGCCCCAGTCAAGGCCACGGGGGGAAAAGGTCACTGGGGCCTGGGTCTCACCAGTTCCAAGATGGGCCAGCTCCCTGATGGCCAGTCCAAGTTGCTGCATATAAGTGAAGACAGCAGACCCAGCACCAATGAAACACATTGGTCCCTGATCCCCCACGCCCAGGGCCCTCTGGGCCAGGCAGGATGTGGACCTGCCCCCACCCCCACCCCCGGTGGCTCCAGGCCCAGGGCCCCTCCTCACAGAGCCCCACAGAGCACAGGAGAGAGGAGCAGGCCTGGGGGGCACTGTTACTTGCACTGTGGAGAGCCCACCCCCACGGAGGAACCGACTCCTCCAGGTGAATCTGGGGCCCACTGCCCTAGAGGCCAAATTTCAGGCTGGCCCAGCCCTCCCATCTCAGGACAAGAAGCTCATAAATAGTTGAGTGGGGGTGAAGGCCACAGAGACCCCTTGCTCCTGCACCTCTCCCCCTCCTACAGCAAAGCAGCAGACCATGGCTCCCAAACTGGCACCATCGGCCAGTGGTTGGAAGTCCACTGGTCTGGGAGCTGAGGGTTCCAGGAGGTCACCACATCCAGGCTGGCTAGGGTGAGTCCAACACAAGTGCTGGCTGGCCATTCCCTAACTCACCTGCCAGCAGGTTCTGGTTCCCTGGGTGGGAAGCAGGTAAAACAGTCTATGAAAATTAGTCTCCTCAACACACAGTTTGAGTTTGGATCTGACTCTGCTCCACTGAATTAAAATCACCAACGGAACTTCGCTCAGGACCCAAGAGGAATGGCCCCTCTGCCAAGGAGCCAAGGCCAAAAGCAGCTCTTACCACCCCCGTCCTTGGCACCTTCCCTATCACCTGCCTTAGGTTCCTTGATTCTGATTCAACTCACAGTCTTTACCTCTTTGTAAAAAGTTAGGCTTTACTGGAGTGTTATTTATATGCAATGATATTCCCCCATATGAAGGGTACAATTTGATGAGTTTTGACAAAACTATCATCATGTAACCACCCGCACTATTACAGTACAGAACATTGCCATCACCTGCTACACCTCAGCCTCTTGGTGCTCACTCTGCTCCCGCCAGCCCTGCCCACCACTGATCTGCTGTCGCTGTAGTTTTGTCTTTCCCGGGATTTCACATAAACAAAGCCACACAGGATGGGGTCTTCCAGACCCGGCTCCTTTCTCGTTCTGTGCATCAGCCATACACTCCTCTTTCCATTCACCAGCTGACAGACATCTGGGGTTTTCCTATGTGGGGCATATGACCGATGCTGCTGTGAATCTGAAGACAGCCCTAAGTGTGAGCATGTTGCATTGCTTTGGGGTAAATGCCCAGGAGTGGGATTGTGGGATCCTTCTGATGCTGGTTTTCTAAATCTTTGTGTCTGTTTTCGCTCTGCCCCACCAGGCTGTGTGCTCCCCAGGGGGAGAAATGTCACCTGTGTTGCTCACTGCCATGATCAGAGCCCAGTGCAATTCTGTGCCAAGACAGTATTCACTGTGGGTATTTGTCCACCATGTGAGTGAATGAAGCAGTAACGGTGGTGCCTGGGATGGTGGGTTTGGTGATGCTGATGGGAAGTGATGATAACATTGAAGGTGGTGGAGGAGACGATGGGGATGGAGGTGACCAGTTGGGGACAGTGACAGACTGCTGGCGCTGATGGCGGTGGTGTTTCTAATGGTGATGCTTAGAACAGCTTCCTTCACCCTCCTTGGAGATGCAATGTCCCTCTTTGAATGTCTCCTCCACCTCCTCACCTCCAAGACCTCCAGTCCCCCATGCCAGAGTCACATCTTGGAGCAGGCTGTCAGGCAAATGCACACCCATCCTGAAGCGACTCTTCCCACTGGCTCCCAGTATGGCCACACCCGCACTGCCCACAGCTGCGACATCTCACCAGGAGCAACCCTCCTTTCTCCCAAACAGTCGGCCTCCCCCCTCTTTGGTTTCCTTCTTATCCTATTTAGATTTTATATTTTCTCTCAAAAATACTACAAGTGTTAGCATCCCCATCCTCTCCTGGCTTCTCTCTCTCCTTGCCTACACCTAAGCGGCTGCTCTCTACCAGAGAATCCACCAGCAGACCCTGGACACACC